TCCGGCGAGTACACCTATTAGGTTACCACTGCAGTCGACATATGTGTCGGGAGGGCGCATCGCACATAGCTTGAAGTTGGTCATGCAAGTGAGACCGGTAACAAAGTAGAAAGATACTTGCGGTGATATACAAATTGTATGATACGATAGTCGCAATATAGCGGCCATACTGATTGCATAGTAATGCAAAGTATTCCAGTATATCAAGAAATTCTCGAAGGCGAATCTGGGCCCTTTTATTACTATGTTCTTTGATCCGTTCACTCTGGTCTCTTCCACTCTCCCGATCTCCTCCATCCACAGGTGTTCAGATTATGGGCATTGACAACAATATTGGCCAACGCTGAACAGTTGAGACTAAGATCCCTATCGAGATACCCCACTCCAAGACCACCACAATTTTCCGAGATATTATACATTGGCCGATAGGTGTTCAATATTCACAACAATAGAAATGGTCGAGAGGACTCCTACAACACTCGAAAGGCTTCCTTCACGGCAAAATATAGCATCCAACCATAACGACGAACCACAGACAGATTTTGTCTGACAGAAGTATCCATGTTCGTCTCACCTGCGCTCATCATATACTACAGTGTAGGAATTGACTCACCTGCAGACCATCGTTCGAACGTGATCCCGAGTCTGTGGAACCATTCTAGTCATCCAGAGTTTGGTACGGAGTCTGCGAATCCCCAGCATCTCACTGCATGAGAGAACGACATAGTGGGCCCGGTCGGATACGAATATCATTCATCCCTGTAGAAAATCCGGTAGCATCCGCATGCCAAATGGCCCCGTTATCACGAAAGTTAATAGGAAAGACATCATCGGCTAGCGGAAGTACTTATGCATATGATACCTTAAAGCTTACGTTGACTCTTAGTTATCGCCCGCTACTGAGATCGTAATTCTTTCCTGATTACCAAGCACTGGAGATATTTCTGATCCTTCCTAGGAAGAATGTATTCAACGCTATAATAATAGACAACACAATGACGCACTTCAACCCAAGATGAACAATGACGAAAGTTTCATTCAGAAGGTTTCACACAGAGAGGAGTGATAAAAGCTCCTCAGAAGACAACTACCATGAGCGTGTGCTCAACCGCGATACACCCGACACTAAGAGAATCACATACGTGACGAAACTTCGTTCATGTCATCAACTTGATGTTTTATGTATCTCAACTAAATTATCTGCAAGTAACATGTGGTGTCATACTCGCAACCCGTGCTCCTCAGGTATCCTGACTCGATTGAGCATATTGTCGAGCACTTGTCACATCCAACGGGAATCTGCATGATATAGATGAGCGGGCTATTGCAGATGATGACAGGCTCAGCATATCCCGGCTTATCGCTCCATCAATCGCGATGATGAAATCTAAGTAATCCAAGGTGGCACTTCCGTTGCCGCACGCTCGAACACAAGCAGTTCCAAGAGTGGACGAGCCGGATGCAGACTCCTCCACAAGGAAGTTGAGCTCTCCAAGATCGACACGTCCATCATGATCCGAGTCCGCTATCGCGAAGATTCGTGATAGCTCCCCAAGCTGGGATTCGGGAACAAGCCTCGCAGCAGCGCGAAGTAGTTCCTTCCTCTGGAGTGGGAAAGCTAAGTACCGATCCAACTTGTGTCTTCCGGCGATTGTTAGTGTACGGGGTGTAATAGAAGGGGACGATGCTAGAACGAAAGGGTGATGTAGTGCCTCTGCAGCTGTAAGACGCTAACATGAGGGTACAATGGGTAAGAAGCGCAATGGGAGCGCAAGTCAGCTCACCCGAGACGGTTCCACAACTAAAAGCCGCCTAACGAGATCCACAGCAGCTTCACTGAGATTTTGCCATGCGGGCCTGTTCTTGATGATGCTGCCGGTCTTGACGCGATGCACAACGACCTACTGGCATTCATCGGAGGATGCACCAGGCTGCGACCAGGGCTGGTTGATACCTTTGTAGAACGGTCGCCTGACTGCCGGAAAGGAGACGCTGCACACAACATCACATAGAGAACAACTCCAGCGGACCACATATCACTCCTCGTGTCAGCACCCTCTGAGAGATATCTGATGCTACGTTCGACTATTGCAACACACAGGGTGCTCTCACATTTCAGGAGCAGCATACGATAGTGTTCCTACACGCCCTTCAGCCAGCCCTTTAACTGTAGTTCGTAGGTTAACAGCCGCACCAAAATCGCATAGCTTCAACCGGCTTTTATCATGCTTGTCCACGAAGAGAAAGTTTTCTGCCTTTACATCACGATGCACAATATGCCTGGCATGGATGAATGCGAGAGCCTCGAGGACTTGGCGCATCAAAGATGATACCTGCCATTTAACCCACATCATTGTGTTCGCCCCAGCGGAATAGTCGGCTGTGTCAAGCCTATCAGCGGGTCCTATACCACGATTACTCACTTCGGCCTCCGGCAATCCCCGGGACAGTGTCGGATTCTCCCGTGCAGTGTGTACTATGTGATCGTAGAGTTCGCGCCCAGCATGCTTCATAACAATGTGATACAATCCGTCTCATCTCGAACACCTAACATTGGCTAGACGTGGCCCGTTGATGACAGATGGGCTGTCTCCTCACTTCAAAAACCCGTATAATTCTTGGATGTGATGGTAAGGCCGAAAGTGCAGCTATCTCCGTAGTGTAGCTCCTGGTCGCCTTATCAGACTGGACAGCTTCATCAACTTGGCAGTCTTTGACTGCTACCAAGCGCCCTTTAATACCGACTTCCTCCGCTAGATATACTTCGCCATAGCTACCCTTGCCTAGTCTCCTTGCTTTACGGTAAATACTTCGGAAGGGGAGCCCTCGATGAATCGGGAAGGCCGATCTCATAGTTCTCTCAGAGGGGATGCATCCTGTAGTAGTAGTAGTAGGAGTTGTAGGGAGGGAGCCGCCACTCAGAGCCTTCATGGGCTGGTTAGCCATCTCGCTTTGGTCGAGTGATGGGACATTCTGGCATAGACTGAATGGGTTCATAATCGGTGCCAGAGCGGCGTTACCCATTACAGGGGTAAACTGACATCAACCTAGCGAGGGGGTTGACATGCTCCAACTATTCTCCTATGCTTGTAAAGTTGACAAATAAGCGGTAAGCTTAGGAAACATCGTTCCAAATCTCAAGTTCATCGAATCGAACGATAAAACCACACTACCTCGAACCGTAGTAGCATTCGACAATGCTGATCCCAAATATACTGGCGTAGAAAAGTATCCAGCAACAACGTATATGACACTTCCTCAACTGAAAAGCCAACACGAGATCCTATCGCTGCGACGACAGTGTTGTGGATGCAAAGGAATCGGCCGTCATCCTTCACATTTCGATGATGCCGTCCTACCTAGTCAAGTAGAATATCACTTGAACACATGCCGGCGAGCTTGGAGGAAACGAGAGACTGTAGAACGATCATAGAGCAATAGTACTAGAGGAGTTCAAACATCATGTTTCAGCTATAGCCTGCGAACATCCAACAACAGCGCTCCGGTTCCTGGTTATCCATCTTCAAGGCCCTGTCGGTGATGAGGGAGGCCCAGTCGGCTTACGAGGCCTCCTTAGACCAGCATAATGACAAATGATACGCATCGCTGCCTGAGATGTATAGGTTCCTTGGAGGCAACGAGTTACCTCTTTCCTACTTCTTTATCCACACGCAGTCGTGGTCCATCGGTTGTATCCTCAACCGCATCAGTATTTGAAGCGTCATCTTCAGGAACAGAACCCTACCAAAGATCATGACCAACTCGGTGACCAAGGCAGATGACAAGAGTATGTCCTGGTCACTCACCCCATGCGCAACCGATCCTCCCAATGTCAACGCTTCAAGGGTAGCACGCAGTACTTCGGGATCGACGTCTTCCTACAGACAACACCAAAAACATGAGAACATCCAACAAACAAATAGAGAACTCGAATCCACCTCCTGCGATGAATTAGCGATGTGTGAGCTCCGGGTCGATTCACTTGATGGTAGCAGAGGTGCACCGACTGATGATCTCACGGGGGCAAGCTAAAGGACAGAAGGAGTTTGCTCAATTCAGTTATTAGGGCAAAGTGTCTCACACCTGTGGTGCCGGGGCATGGTGTGAAACCTTAGAAAGCTTGGATTTCTCCGCACCCTCCGCCGGTGCTGCTGGGCTCTCCTGGGTAAGTATGAGTGCCTGGGAGACTTAAAGTTGTCGAGAGGGAGGTATCAGTCACTCACCCCTTCTCCCCATTCCTCGTCCGTGACAGGGATATTCTCACGATTAAGCATGCCAGTCCCAACATTCGGTGTGTACGTTTTATAATGACTACTTCCTCCACCACGACCTCTTCCTTTTTTCCAATTCCCGGGCGATCCACCAGATGAGCGTCGACCACCATCCTGCCATAACTAATCTCAAGTGCAGCCTCAGCTAATAGCTCACCTGCTGGGGATGCTTTCCCTTCCCATGACCTTTCCGTGAAGAACCTCCTCCATGCCAATCAGCGGAGTGTTTCTTGTGTTGAGAGTGCTGATAATGTTCCCAAAGAGGGTTCGAGTAGCCATCATCGGTGATGCCGTCCAACCTTCGTTCATGTGTGTGATCTCGGGCAACAACGTTGTATCCATGGCTACCCCCAACCGAGGCATCAGAGTCGGCCGCAGCCATGCGTAGAAGGGCGTCTACAACCCGAGAAGGTGACGCCGGATGAGGGTCTTCCTCAAGCTTCTCGGAGGCGACATACTTGGGGAAGGACCTCATTAACCTTCCAACCACATAAAAGCTGCAAGCATGATGATTGTGGCATACTCCCGTGAAAAGTGCATTCGAACGTCCTCAATACTACCACGGACATGGTCAGTATGGTGGCAACTCCAAGGTAAGTATAGTAACAAGAAAGCATGATGGTACGATGAAACAGTAATTATCAGTCACTCACTGCTCCAGAGCCTATGACGTAGCGAGTCACTATTAGTGAATAATTCCAGTCGGGAATAGTTGAACGGGTAGGCACGAAGGAGGGGCTCCAAGTCACGAGGCGTAACACGGTAAAGCCTAGACACAGCAGAAACCTGGTGGCTAAGAACCCGAGCAGCCTTTCTTCCATTTATTATAACGTTTTAACACATCTACCGTCACTGTTCTGCGCGCGTTACGAGCGTTCGCGCCCTTGTGGATGGCGGGATGAGGGCCTTGGTATTCACAGCAACGCTAAGTGCTGCTTAGTGACAGTCTTCTTGTGTTGTACAGAAGAGTATGCATGTTCTTGTCAGAGATTGGTTGCACGCACGTACTGAAGATCATCGACAGTCTAATCCGAATAGCAGTACTATCCCCCCGTATGATGGACCCATACTAGCCATCTCTTGGCGATTCTGTACGTACCCATCGGAACCGTCGTCGCAACAATGAGATCGGCCATCACGTTGATGGCATCAACCTTGCCGAAGTTGAATCCTCTCAGCTCGATACACCAGTCACGAATACAAAATGCAATCGGGGTGCGCTTAGTCATGATCTGAAGTTAGAGGTTGAACTATGATGGTCTCAGTGAAGGCTGATGAATGCCGTCGCAGCAGATGGCGCTTTTGGAATGTACTATTCGGACCGCGAACATACCCCGAGTTTCGCCGTACCTTGAGTAAGCTTAGCGATTCGTCGCATTCTTCGCACACCATTAACAGTGACGGCCGAAGAGGTGATCAGCCTTGGCTGGACTGACGAGGTGCATAGAGCTACTTATTACGGGATGAATAACCAAAACCATCTCGCCCGGCAAGTCTAGGCCGGATAATTGTTGGTTCAGTTCAGCAAGATTCAGCCATCCACCAGACAACGCAATAAACATTATATGAGGTATCAACGATTCTTCAATCGTAACAGGCGCTTTGGTCTGTTTAAAAACGATAATGGTTCTCATCAATCCATAAGGTGGTACTTGTGGCCCAATGATCGGGACCGAATCCACGATGATCCTCACACGGGAAACGTTACCCAGCGACTCATCATCCTAGACTAAGACGACGATGCGGGGGGAGCGAGAACGCAAAAATGAGATGAGAAACGGAGCTAGCCAGAAACCCCCAAAATCTCTCAAAATACACATTTCTGCTGACAAAATCACACAGAAGACATCAGCACAATAGCTCGTGTCGCTGAATGAACGCCATCCAAAGTTCCCTCGATACGGATCAAACGACGAGCTTCCTTCCCCGAATGGACCGACTGGATATCAATCTCTACATGACAATTCGTCGAAATCCAAGTGAGGAACGCTGGTGGTATAGCGTTGCTGCATTCGAAGACAATATTACAAAAGTGAGCATCAACCATAGCATCAATATCTCCAGGAAGGATAGCCAAAGGATCATACACGAGTTTCACCGTATTAGCCAAGTGAGAGCGATCACTCTGTACGGCTAGAGCGATGGATCCACAAGCGAGAGCGGTTAGTCTTCTGTCAGCACCATGTCTCAATATGGACACTTCCATAACTGTCTCTCCCCCATGTTGCAACGTGAATTCATCAGTTGACAGAGTGATGTCAGCAGCCCTAGCGAGCTCTACAGACGTAGGACTACCAAGACAAATGTAAACTGATTCAACGGCGATGTCGGCCAGAATATAATCATGGACGACCTTCATCACGACACTTCTCATCGCCTCGAGGCTCGGAGCGGCTATAACGAGGACTCGCAAGTTGGAATTGGGAAAATATGATCCATAGGGGGATAACTTCATCGCCGTCAAAGTCTCTTTCTCCAGACTGATGAGAGTCGAACCACCATGACCCATGATAACGCCCGCAGTCCCTTCAGAAATGAGCAGCTTGAACCAAAACGGTCCAGCCTTGTAGCGCTCATCCCTGACTCTTGCGGCCAGTTTCGCTCTGGCTTTCCGCTTCCTCGTCGAGCGAGAAGGTATACTTCTGACACCTTGATGCCGGAGTGCTGCAAGTTCAGCCATCTCTACATCGACATTAGAAAGAGCCATCCACACTAGAGGGATAAGGAGAGCAGAATGTACGCGTGCTGATGACGTGGACCTAATGCGCGTGCGTGCGAAATGAAGGGTGGTACTCCGAAAGTTTCAGATTGAGACCTTGTTTCTCTTGTGGATCGAAACTAGCTATGATGTGAGGGCGGTATTGATCATGGCTCATATCATGGGCTTAATTCATCTTTAGATAGAACAACAAGGCACGAATCTGGACTCACAATTCTCGGCATTGACCCCGTCAACAGTGAATTTCGCTCGCCTATAAATCGGCGAAAGCTGATGTTCAGGGGCCTATTTCACAAGCCATCATAAGTAGCATAAGGTGAAACTGTAGTGAAAGCACCTCGCGTAAGGTGTAAGGCTCCTTGCCCCTCGCTCCTAAATCCAAGGTGCACCTTTAGGAGCGTTTCTTGTGAAATAGGCCCCAGACCTTGAACTTCTAGGTCAAGGGTCATTTCCGCCAAGAGGTGGGGTCAAAATTGGATGATAATTTATGAAGCTAGAGTTTTGTACAGCACGCAGGATAGGTATAACTCTCAAAGTGTGACAGTGTCGATATTTCATGAGCTCGCGGGCTTCTGAAGTACAAATAGCAACATCAAAGGATCGACGAATCTCAGCAGTGGTTTCCTGAGCCGGGGACCTCACACACAGCTATGCATATTCAAACTTTGGGAAGGGCGCAGCTAACAGGTCTAGAAGTGGCCTGCAAAAGAGGGGGACAGTCCCTTAAGTAATGAGTACTATTCCCTTCTCCAAGACCACAAGAACACATGGAGATACTGTTACGACCACGTACAAAGTTGAGATGGGGGCTGGGGCAATGACCAGTAATGAACGGCTGGTCGGATGCTCTGTAGTATAGCTCAGTATGCTCTATGAGTCCATCGGGATTGAGTATTCGCGAGCGAACTGATGTGGAAACGCTGGCCGTGCATTAATCACAGAGTCAAGCGCCTCAACTCTAGTCCCCAAATGTCAACGGATACTTGGCTAGACGACATACTTTCCCTCTCGTCGCCATTTCATGATGAGATGTGATGGAAAGATCCACAGGTGGGACATTTCTCGATCAAGAAATCGTACCGAGTTCCTCTCTAGTATAATGTGATATGATATCACTGATATTTATATCTTCCTCATGCCCTGTACACTGGCTTACCTCCCCTCCAAGAACATCTCTATAAACCGGCGACCAACTCCACTGTGGTAACCATGGTATGGCTGGAGCTTAGCCAGCAGGCTGGACCCACGACTACGTTGTCACCCAACCCTATGACAAAACAACACCGCCTCCTCCATTGTTAACATCGTACTTACGTAAACATCATGCATGCTACACTGTAGCAGCTACAAGAACGTCTCTAGCTACTATTAATGCCAGTAATTGAGAAAACGACTATGTCTCTTTAAGGGCTTAGGCAGAGGGAATATCCTCGGTGTTATTCCGAGTATAGCCCTCATAGTACGATACTGCAGTTGGTCCACACGAAACCACAGCATTGGCCTCCGTCTCGCTGTCGTGGTAGCCGGTACCACAATGATCTCGTCCCTTGGTCGGTCTTCCCTCTTCTCGAGCTCCCCTTCCGTCAGCCATGACCGTGATCGGGGTATCACATCTCGGGTGGTGATAGCCCAAGCATTCTGAGCCCATGCCAGGAACACCTCGCTGGGTAGCTCAATGAGTATGCCTTGCCTGGCCGTTGGACTAGTATAAAGCCTCGCCAAAACACGTGTCTCCCTCTCCACCCATCCCTTTCTGGAGTGGCCTTTATCAATTATTACCGATCGTTTATGTGTGACCGTCGTGTCCTCGAGCATCATTGGTGCTTCTCTCGGTATCTCATTAATGCTCAATAGCTCGTCAACTACAGGATCTGTAACGGATGTAGTTACTTGACCCTCCACTTCCGTAGCCAACCACCTTATATTCGGACCCAGACTGTCATATTGCATCCAACCACTGGTTGCCATCCCGGTCCCACTAATCTCTGATATCCTATATCCAGGAGCAATCCCTTGTGAGGGGGTCGACTCGACGAGGTCGCTTTCAGAGTACCCATAATATTGTTGATCATTAGATGAGAGGCTGGACGGATCTCTGCGTCTCCTGCCGCTGCTTCCAGTAGATGTACCTTTCCTCCCCTTACTTCTCCTCTTCAATATTCTCGAGCCCCTCTTACATTCCGACCTCCTCTGAGATCTCAGACTTCCCATCGCGTGACGAGTCCGATGAAGCCCTGTCACATGCCTATCGTTGGCGAAACTCTTCGTGCATGAATCGTTGCCGGATCTCCTCGTGCATGACTCGCTGCCCTCGACATTACTTACTCTGCTACTAGTATAGCTACTATCGGTCGATCGGATTTCCTCCTCCTCCTCTTCCTCAAGTTCCCCCCATATCTTTCTAATAACTGTATCAGGAGCAGAAAGCAATTCGAGTCCCCATACCCCAGACAACTCCTCTGTGTTCCCTCGTGCTTCCGATAACTCTCGATATGCTAAGAGCTCTTCAGATGTTCGAGTTCCCCCACCATTAAGAGTATACCCACTTTCGTTGTGGTTTCGATCCCGATACCCGCATCTCCACCAGAGATAGTATCTTTGTGCGTAGCTTTGGTGATGTCTGTACAACCGAGTCGTCAGTGTAGTATGACGAGACTAACCGCTCGATTGGAGTGCCGAACTCGAGGGGTTTGTGAGGATCCCACCCTGGTGAATCCTATCAACTGCTCGTATTGGGATCCCGTCTCTGCCAATCTCGGGCCACTATCACCAACGTTCATTGATCTATACTCGACTAGTGGGCTCTCTGGTCCACTACGTCGGCTTACAGCTACATCGGTGCTTTCTATTGACTCTCGCTCTCCCGCAACTATCGTTGTAATGTTCGACACACTTTTGCTCTGACTGGTAGATGTCTGCGTGACGGACGTGTTGTACTGTACCCTCGGGCCGGGGTTCACTCCTGTACTCCTACATTGCATCTCTGGAGTCGGTTCGATCATGTCCGATGTGGAATGATCGTTATAATTGTGATCAGGCATTCGCCACCGATGCTCGCCTCCTAAATGCAGTGAACTATCCCCTTCCTGATATCGGTTCTCAGGCGTTTGCGAGGACTGGTCCCTCGACTTCCCCAGTCGCTGCTCATACTGAGGTCTTGGGTCAGCCCTCGACTCCTCTAGTCGCTGCTCATACTGAGGTCTCGGGTCGGCCCTCGACTCCTCTAATCGCTGCTCATACTGAGGTCTCGGGTCGGCCCTCGACTCCTCTAGTCGCTGCTCATACTGAGGTCTCGGCTCGGCCCTCGACACCCCCAGTCGCTGCTCATACTGAGGTCTCGGGTCAGCCCTCGAGTCCTCTAGTCGCTGCTCATACTGAGGTCTCGGCTCGGCCCTCGACACCCCCAGTCGCTGCTCATACTGAGGTCTCGGGTCAGCCCTCGACTCCTCTAGTCGCTGCTCATACTGAGGTCTCGGCTCGGCCCTCGACACCCCCAGTCGCTGCTCATACTGAGGTCTCGGGTCAGCCCTCGACTCCTCTAGTCGCTGCTCATACTGAGGTCTCGGCTCGGCCCTCGACACCCCCAGTCGCTGCTCATACTGAGGTCTCGGGTCAGCCCTCGACTCCTCTAGTCGCTGCTCATACTGAGGTCTCGGCTCGGCCCTCGACTCCTCTAGTCGCTGCTCATACTGAGGTCTCGGGTCGGCCCTCGACACCCCCAGTCGCTGCTCATACTGAGGTCTCGGCTCGGCCCTCGACACCCCCAGTCGCTGCTCATACTGAGGTCTCGGGTCAGCCCTCGACTCCTCTAGTCGCTGCTCATACTGAGGTCTCGGCTCGGCCCTCGACACCCCCAGTCGCTGCTCATACTGAGGTCTCGGGTCAGCCCTCGACTCCTCTAGTCGCTGCTCATACTGAGGTCTCGGCTCGGCCCTCGACACCCCCAGTCGCTGCTCATACTGAGGTCTCGGGTCAGCCCTCGACTCCTCTAGTCGCTGCTCATACTGAGGTCTCGGCTCGGCCCTCAACACCGCCAGTCGCTGCTCATACTGAGGTCTCGGGTCAGCCCTCGACTCCTCTAGTCGCTGCTCATACTGAGGTCTCGGGTCAGCCCTCGACTCCTCTAGTCGCTGCTCATACTGAGGTCTCGGGTCAGCCCTCGACTCCTCTAGTCGCTGCTCATACTGAGGTCTCGGGTCAGCCCTCGACTCCTCTAGTCGCTGCTCATACTGAGGTCTCGGCTCGGCCCTCGACTCCTCTAGTCGCTGCTCATACTGAGGTCTCGGCTCGGCCCTCGACTCCTCTAGTCGCTGCTCATACTGAGGTCTCGGGTCGGCCCCCGACTCCTCTAGTCGCTGCTCATACTGAGGTCTCGGCTCGGCCCTCGACACCCCCAGTCGCTGCTCATACTGAGGTCTCGGGTCAGCCCTCGACTCCTCTAGTCGCTGCTCATACTGAGGTCTCGGCTCGGCCCTCAACACCGCCAGTCGCTGCTCATGCTGAGGTCTCGGGTCAGCCCTCGACTCCTCTAGTCGCTGCTCATACTGAGGTCTCGGGTCAGCCCTCGACTCCTCTAGTCGCTGCTCATACTGAGGTCTCGGCTCGGCCCTCGACACCCCCAGTCGCTGCTCATACTGAGGTCTCGGGTCAGCCCTCGACTCCTCTAGTCGCTGCTCATACTGAGGTCTCGGGTCAGCCCTCGACTCCTCTAGTCGCTGCTCATACTGAGGTCTCGGGTCAGCCCTCGACTCCTCTAGTCGCTGCTCATACTGAGGTCTCGGCTCGGCCCTCGACTCCTCTAGTCGCTGCTCATACTGAGGTCTCGGCTCGGCCCTCGACTCCTCTAGTCGCTGCTCATACTGAGGTCTCGGGTCGGCCCCCGACTCCTCTAGTCGCTGCTCATATTGTGATACCGCCCCAGCCGGCTCCTCACGATCCACATCCAAGTCTACTGATCTGTACCCAATGACTGGAGACTGCGCTCGACCCTGCTTAGCCTTCGCCAACGCAGTATTACCCGCAAGGTCCCTGCTCTGACTGGTATACGCTTTCGTGATAGGCTCATTGTGGTGAAGCCATGAGCCGGCGGCGTCGACTCCTATACTCACATACTGTACCACTGGGGTCTGTGTATCAACATGCCTAATATGGCTATAGTCCGACATTGGATACCAGTCCTCGCTGCCTGACAGCGATATGTCATCACCAACCAAACTCGTCCTTCGAATAATCAGTCGTGCCCCATCGCGTAGCACTTCCGACGTCCTTCTTGAGCCCTGGCCCACACTAGAGTCCTTCGTCTCAACCCCCACAGTTTGACACGACCCATCCATACACACTTTCGAGGGGAGCTTGCAGTTGGAGGCCTCTACATCACTATGAAGGCTCCTGCACCCACACAATGAGCACCTGCCCTCCCCACCGCATCCATCACTGATCTTAGCGCTAGAGCTTAACACTCCACTTCTGGGATCATCGGAGCTGGGCATAGGAGGGTTCTCTTCATGCGGCTTCACGCTACCTGCCGTGTTTGCGTCAATGGAGCTGACTGGAAGGGTGTCTTCATGACTAGGCTTGGTCCAAGATCGACTAGAGATGTCTGTCTGAGTTATCCGGCAGCGGGTGGCGATCCGATCCCGATGGGTGAACTCTGGGATTGTTATTGATATCTTTTCTATATGACCGCCCTCAAGAAGGCCCTTAGATGTCACTTCTACCAAGGGTGACTCCCAAGCGGCAGCCAGAGTATCGCATATCACAGCTTGGTGCCTGTATCTAACATATACCTCACATAAGTTGATGAGACGAATGACGGTGGAATCTCACTCTTTCTGAAGAGCTGTAATGGCCAGCATCAATTCGGTTGTCTCAGTATCAACATTCTGTCTTCTGAACTTCTCTATAGCGAGCCTTTGCCGTCGTTCTAACTTGCCTATCTTCCTAGGCATTAATGACCTCTCCTGCATCAACAGGGCTATGGTCGCAGAATGTGCTGGTGCGAGATTTCTCTCTGATGGGTTCATTCAAGTGGACACAAGTGGATACCTGCGAACGTGAGGATTGATGTTGGCTCATATAGCCACCCCGATCGCAACCAATAATGAAGCGACTTGTGATGTTCGTATGGGAATAATTACCGAGTGTCACCGGATTTCACCGATGCCACCTAATAAAAAATAGTGCAAGTGCATGTAAACGGTAGAAAACGGCGCCGCGCGAAGCGCGGCGTTAAGAATCTTGTAACTAGGTCTTCGGTGCGAAGGGGCGGAGCTCGCTGAGCTTCTTATCAAGAATTCAGCGGGCTGTTATTGAAATTATTTTGGAAATTGGATGACTAAAAGCAAAAAGTTGTGTTACATGTAACATCTATTTAAAAACATTTATTATGGAGCAGGAACAGATATTCAGCGGAGTTAACCAGTAGCCATGTCCCGTAGTCGGCCTTCCAAGGCGCGTCTTTCTTCAATACCCTTCCCTTTTCCAACTCTATTCCATCTCGCCAGTCTCAAGTTTCGTTGATCGGCGACATCCAGAACAAAACTTGATAATGAGCGGGCGCGGGATAGAGCAACGTAAGTGGACCCGGTACCGATTTCTTTTGATCCAAAGTCAATTGTGTAGCAAGAGAGAGAGCTCCCTTGTGATTTGTATATAGTTGTGGCATATGCCAGAACCAGAGGAGCCTGAGTTCTCGAGTACACACGCCCATCATTATGCCACGTACGAGTAACCGCAGGGATAGGGACTACAGTTGGGAAGTTGGGGTTCAAC